AATGAAAAAAAAAAAAAAAAAAAAAAAAAAAAAAAAAAAAAAAAGCAGCCCTAAAAAAGCACATGTTGTAGTAGTAGTAATTACTAGGAAAAAAAAGAAAAAACAAGTCTCAAGCCCCAAGTACTTATTAGTCAAAAAAATAACAACTCTGGGAAAACTTTCTCCAAATTATTTCAGGTGCCATTTGAGATAGCTCTTCTCTCATTGCACAAATAATGGCTCCTAAAACATCAAGATGATACAGCCCTTCTTTTTTTAAGGTATCCTCCCCATCACCACCACCTTTCTCCTTCCCACCAAATGAACACCACAACATAATACAAAAGGTATCTGTGTATATGTTCTTTTCTTTCCTGCTCAAAGTTGTCTTTCTTTTCAGGTTTATAGAAACACGTACTGCATGGACTTCGGGCCATTCGTCCCAAATGTCTGGAAGCATGGTTTAGGGGTTTTTTTTGTTGCTTTGTTTTAAATTTCTGAAAGTTCATTAATTAATCACTGCCAATTTTTAACATTTCACCATGACTTCATTACATCAATTTTGAATTAAAAAATTTGGAATTGCACAAACAAGTATTTACAGATCTGCTTGAAACAGACGCATCACAGTAATAAGTCACAATCGTGTCTCAGCTGACAGCCAGAGAAGTTATGTACTCATACCTTAGAGGAATCTTCGATAGCTTTATGTAAATTTCTGAGCTGAAGGTGGCAAGCAGCGCGATTGAGATACAGTAGGGGAAGTTTATTGTTTAGTCTCACCGCGAGGTTATATGCATTTACAGCTGCAAGATAGTTTCCCGTTGCAAACATTTTGCTAAGTATAAAACAAAAAGTGAGACATGCACTTTAAACAGGGTGGTAAATCACAAAATAAATACCTAATTATTGTTAACAATTTCTTTTCAAAAAATTTGAAGGTTTAGGAGCTTTTCCTTGGAAATGGCCATTTATAGCCCTTTCTGAGAACAACACAGCTGGAAGTCAGACTTAATGCTGACAGAGCATATAGACACACAACTTAACAAAAAGAGTCACTGCTTAAAAGCAATGAGGAACGGTAAGAGGCAGACACATCCATGCAGACACAGGACTAATTCTGAAAGCTCTGTCTCTGATTATGATTGCCTGATCAAACCTTTCTGTATAACATAGCTATATAAACATACCGATGCTTTTATCAAATTCCTGAAGTTTTAGACAGATGTTTAACCTCTTAATAAAAAGTACAAATTCAAGGAAATCCACCTAAGTATAATATTGCATTGACTTAACTATCCTCAGAGAAAATTATGCATTATATGTTCTAATTATTTTGTCCATCACGAGCCTCAGCAGTTGCATCTCATTACTTTATCAGATTCAAACCCCATAAGCTGTCAACAAATTCTCCACTACATCGACATTCACCATCTGTACCTAGGATAAACACAAAATATCAGAACTAAACAACAGACATACACCATATAACTAACATTTAATTTTAAATACACCTTCAAATGGAATCTAACTTACTTTCCTTTGTCCTTTAACCAATCTGGATTCTTCTCCTCTTCTTTTAAATCTTCCAGCTCTGACAAATCAGCACTTATTGTTCTTCGAGCTTCTGCTTGTTTACGTAGCCACTGTAGATATACAACGAGTAAGTATTATTTCTGAAGAAAAATTCAAATCCAAAAAAGGATTTTGCTTTCATCTCTTCACTCACTCCTACCAAAAGAATTCTTGTGTGCAGAGAGAAATATTTAATAATGTCAGATATGAAAAACTTTCAAGTTTCCCCATGTATTTTATTGCTATGTGAGAAGTAAGGTTGCTGCATCACTAATGCATTCGTGTTTGCTTGTTTTGGAATTTCTAAACTCTTTATGCTCATTTAATAGAGCTTAAAAGACCTAACTGTGAGCTTCTTTTTAAGAAAACCGAACTTAAAGAATCTGAAATATAAGAGTAAAGACATTTCAAATTTTGTACTTCAAGGAGTTCAAATAATATTGCTGCCTTTTTTTTTTTCTTCCCCCAAAAAAGGAACATGCTATTTATTAATCTGCATAATCACATGCTTGGTGAAAATAATTTTTATATAGAAGAGTGTGTTTAAATCTTACGTAAATAAGACTGCATCCCTTGGAGGATAAGAATATTGCACAGGTAACATTTCTGGGCACAGGTAACATTTTTGTCGACTTACTGAATTCACAGTAAATAATTTGCCTTCTTGGAAGACAGCAGAAGCATCATACTAAACCAGAGAGCAAACCTTACCTCCTCCTCTTCTGCAACACGAGATTCTCGCAGAGCTGTAGGAAAAACTCGGGATGTAAAGTTGATTTTAATTGTGGCGGCAGATCGAGGAGCTGGTAACTGTTCTTCCTTTAAATTTTCTGAAAAGATACTACAGGAACCATGACCTATGAAAAGAATCGGGAGTACTGGAAATGAAAAATGAAGCAAAAAAGTTTTTTTCTGGTTTTCTACCAAAGTACACCTAATTTAGAAATTCTGCACATTAGAATTAAACCTCTAATAGCTTGAGAAAGGTTTAGACTTGTTCTTTTGAAGTGAAGCGTCAAAGAACGTTTGTTCTTGCTGTCCCATGCCATCTATTTACTAGCTGCATTATCTGTCACAAACGAACTTAAACTCCTCTCACACCATTATCTCTGTTATTCATATGGTTCTCTGACAGGGCAACCGCAAGAACTAAAACTAACCTCACCAAACACACAAACAAAACAAAAATGAAATATTTTCTGTTGGTTTAGTTTCCTGAATTGGCTCTCTGTGGGGCCAAGACATGGGATAGAGAGAGTGTGTATTTCTATGAAAACCAGCAGTTATGTAACTTGGGGTAACATGAACTGCACTCTCACACTGTCAGAAAAGCTTTCTGGTTTACTTCTCTGAAGCTTAGAACAAACCTGCCCTTGTACTGCCAAAGACTTAAACGAGAGCTAAGAACTCACATGCTTTAGCTCAATAAATTGCCTGAGAATAACTGCACACTAAAAGAATTAGTTCAGTAGAGAGAGACAAAGACAAAAGGTGAATTAGAACATCTAGGAATAAAGTTACACCCATACTTTAAAGAAGCATATATTTCAATAATACAACCTTTGGTAGGTTTGAGTCCAGCCTTAGAAACTCCTTCATTTGGAGTCATGGTTTTGTTCCCTTTTTCCTTTTTCTTCACCTTTAATTTCTCTACTTCACGAGGTAGTTCCTCGTCTCTCTGTACCCCCTTTTGTTTCTCAGCATCATTTTGCTGTTTTTTCCATAACTCCAACTCCTTAGTGACCTTCTGCCGCTCCTTTTCTTTCAGATCTTCAATTCTTTTTCTTTCTGCTTCTTCTAACTGTTTGAATGATAAACTGTGAGATATGTAACATCTGATAACAGGAAGATGACTAAGTCACCATTAGTTTCCCAGTTTCGTATACCAGGCATAACATCATAATTAACGTGATTGTATAAGCAGAGTTGTGAAAGATGCTTAAAAAAGATTGGGAGAGTAAAGATTCCTGATTGGCTTTTGAAAGTCGTATCTTTTAACTGTTTTACTAAGGTATGATCCAGAAACATTCATAAATAAATTTTACTTATAAACAGTGACAATTCTATCCATATTCCAATGCAGATCTCCGGAATATATAGAAATGTAAAATATATGGCTTCATTTTAATACACTTATTTTGCCTCGTCTTTGAGATTATTCCATAGGCAGGTACAGCGTTGCTACTAAGAAAGTCACTAATTGCACTTCATTTCAGTCCAAACTGTACATGCAATCTTGAAATGTCGTTGTACACCTTACAAAATCCTTTTAAACACAAATGAAGTGACCAGAGTTTTTATATACATAAACATTTTGAAGAATGTACCTTAAAATATGCATAAAATGCAGAATGACAAAGATACACATAAAAGACAATCAACAGCAAGTCTGTTATAAAATATAATAAAGAATAATTATTAATCAGTATTTTTGACAGTACTAAATGACTAAATAATTTTGCTGATGCAAAGGCTCCAAAAGATGACAGTTTTACCACATTACCGTAGTCTCCTTCCAACTGACAAAAATCTGAGCTCCTCTCCAAAAGCTTTCACTCGTATTACTAACGGAAAACGGCAACGTCTAAGAATTTTTTCTGTATCGTTTTCATATTTGGTAATAGATATGCTTTAAGCACAAAGAAATAACACGGTTCTCCACTACTGCAATAAAAATGAGTATTGGTCATATTTTTTAAGGTACACTTAAGCAAGCAGCTGTCATGTTAGTTGGTAATTGTTTACAGGTCTTGTAGGGTTCCTTCTAATCTTACCTTCATTGTGGCCTCCAAAGCATACTTTTTGTGTTCCTGTTTTGTAACTTTTTTTGCTTCTGTCTCCTCTTTTGCCTTTTCATGGGCTTTTAGAACAGCGTTCTCTCTTAGATACTGCAGTTTCTCCTTGTTAGCTTAAAAAACAAACAAAAACTACTGTTATGTACCGTACTCATAAAAAAAAAGGATTCCTTTTGCTACTTCGTCTAGGAAAACGCAACATGGTTCAAATTCCACAAAGCAGTCTGTTAGCAAGCACACATCTAAAGAAATTTAAATTTGCTTACATACAAAATGTAACTTTTACAATAAACATTGCTTTGGTTTGTGTGCACTAGCCAGTAATGTTCTTTGTTTTCACATACTCTCTGTTTTTAACAACAAACAACAAGGTTGTAACTTAGCAGACATCTAGCAGCAGAAGTTTCACATTGCTTATTGTAAGGTTTTGGCACAGAACTTACCATTTGGTAGTGTCAGGGAATCCCACATAGCCACTTCTTTTTTATACAAAGTGAAGAAAACGATTCCATTTCCAATCTTTGCTGTGCTATTTGTGTCATCAATAGGAGCATATAAAATGGCTTCAAATAAAAAGGGAGGGATGCTTACCTATAAAAATATAATTGATTTGTACTAATATTTACAATTTTTAATTCAATCTCAATTTATTCAAAATATTCCAAATACTCAAGAAACACATGCTATCGACAAAATTATTTTGCTTAGGATCCCGTACAGAGTTGATGTATTTTATTAGACTAGATAAAAGAGATTGAGAAAGTTGGTTCTTCAGCACTGCAGCAGAAGCCGTGGACCTCAAATTTAGAACAACTATTCATAATATAAGCAGATGTGTTTAATTCAGGCCACTTATAGAGAACGGGCAGTTGTCACCTATTGAGTAGCAAGAGCATCAGTACGGAGAATAATAAAGTAGTAAAGCCATTAACCCTAGTGGGATGTTTAACAGCCTGCAGCATATAAAGGGAGGTGACAGATTGATATAAAAGATTATAAACTTGACAGCGCTGCCATGATGTGTTGAGCGGGTGCTCCTTAACAGAGCTATAAAGTACCACCAAGCCCCAGGCCCACGGGCACAACACATCTCCTGGCGGCGATACCGCACGACGTGAGACACCTTCAAGTACTGCTCCGTGCAGAAGATGCTGGCGGAGGTGGCCCGGACGCCGCGCAACGGCAGCGAGAGGTACACGGCGGCGGCGGTCTGCCGCCAGCTGTAGTCCCGCAGCCACACCGGCATGGCTGCGGCCTGTCGCTACGGGCGCCCCGCCGCCGTTGCTAGGGGCAGGGGAGCTTCCGGGTGCCTCCGAGCGCTTCCGGGTCAAGCCCCTCCCCGCGCTGCCGCCGGAAGGCGCCCTGGCCAATG